AGAGATCTAAACCACTTAGAGGATGAGCAGTGGTCTGAGCTCCCTTCAGACATCCTAGCGCAGCATTCTGCTGAGAACAAGATCCTGGTGGAGCCCTGTTTAGCCACAGATAGCAGGCTAAGTGCCCTGTTAGTTCACTCCATCCCCAACCCTTCCAGCTCCATTCCCAAGAGCCTCTTAAGAGATGCTGTGCAGCTTCTTTTTTTCCTCTCAAAAGCAGCTGAGCACAGAAAAACACATTTGTCACACTGAGGAGATTTACAGACTGTTACAGCCCATCAACCTCCTCCTACAGTACAGCTTTATAGACACAGGCTGCATTTGTTCAGCTAGTAATGGTAAGTATTTCCTTTTCATTGTATCTATGAGCAGGCCGTCTTCCCATATCGAGTTCAAAAATAAAGCAATATTCCTTCTTTAAACAATGCGTTGGTACTTGACGGGCGGACAGCGGGACGGAGCTCGGGACGGAGCTCGGGACTCCGGTGGTGGTGCTTGGTGCTCAAACATAGTCAAGGTTTCCTCATGTTGAGTTTTTCCCTTGGAGAGTGAACAAACTGAGCACGCGCTGTGCTCACATGAATCTTCCCACGTAGGAAAAGCTATTTACTGACACGTATACCCAGGGGTTATATCCAAGTGGCCAGGGGTTAAAGACTTCGAAAAGAACACTTACTGCCCTGCACTTTGGAGCATCTCATCCGCCAATCAAACCCTCACGTGGACGGCCTCTTTCCGTTGATCCGAGGCGGCAGGAGTCGCTTACAGGCAAATGGAGCAGGAGTCTGGTGAAAGGCAACACGATATATCCAGCCTCCCTCCGGTCACGTGATGTTGGCGCCGTTTGGGTTTCCTTGGGATTCTCCTAATGAGACTCGGCTTAATGAGAAAGGTGTGGAGCCCGGGGGAAGGAGTTGAATATTTGAACAACTTAATGGTCATTAGAGGTTTTAGTCTGTCGGATTCTGATTCTATTTTTAATATGCAGGTTTTATTATTCACGCATCATAGCTGTTAATCTGTGTATGGCAGGTAAAGAACTAAATGGAGATCTCTGCTCTATTGTTTTTTTAAATATTAATGTGTCTACACTGGAAACTCAATAAGGAGAGAATGGCCAAGTTTCCTTTCTGGCTGTCTGACTATATCAATAAGACACCCACATTCATCAAATTACAACCTCCACTTCAGCAGAGTGCAGTACTGTCATCACTGCACAGTTCTATTAACTAGGGAAACTGTTACACCCCGAATGTCACGTTACAATAGCCTTCTCCAGTTCAGTTGATTCACACAAAATATGAATCATAAAAAAGTCATACATTATTAAAGCACAAATGGAACAAAGCTAAAATGCAATTTTGTGCAGGTGGGATGGAATACATTTGTCCCAGAAACAAATGAAAAATATGAATTCATATAAACACCATGACATACTTTCCATCAATCAATATTTGTCGGAAGGCCATTTAAATGATTATTTAATTATTGTACACAGTGAAGACGTGGATGGATTACGGAACAGGCCCAAAGTGTCAACCAGGAAGAGACTCAAAATGACCACAAAGAAACACAAAACAACTACAAAGAGACAAAAAAAGACTGCAGTCATAGAATGACCACAAAGGGACACAAAGCAACTACAAAAAGATTCAAAATGACTACAAAGAGACCCACAAACAACTATAAAAAGTGCAAAAAGGGGCAAAAAAGAGACACATACCGACCAGAAAGAGACTCAAAATGACAACAAAGGAAAAAAAACAGCTTCAAAGAGACACAAAATGACTACAAACAGACCAAAACAACTACGAGTCATAACCTATCCATAAAGTGACACAAAGCAACTACAAAGAGACACAAATCAACTACAAAGAGACACAAAACAACTACAAAGAGACACAAAGCAACTACAAAGAGACACAACGCAACTACAAAGAGACACAAAATGACTACAAGGAGACACAAAATGACTACAAAGACCAAAACAACTACGAGTCATAACCTATCCATAAAGTGACACAAAGCAACTACAAAGAGACACAAATCAACTACAAAGAGACACAAAGCAACTACAAAGAGACACAATGCAACTGCAAAGAGACACAAAATGACTACAAGGAGACACGAAATGACTACAAAGAGACACAAAACCACAGAGATATGGGTGACGACTACAGAGACACAAAACAATACAAACTGCATCTTGCGTCTACGTATAGGAGCGATGTCGAGGGGCCTTTTGCATGTCTGTGCCCAGGGGCCCGTTGACTCATCATCGACCCACGCATACAGGGGAATTACAGTAAGATGTAAAATGAACACAAGGCTACACATAAAGACATGAATGTGATTTAAATGGATTGAAAGGAGCAGAAAGACATGAGGCGAATGGAATATAAAGTGAGCCGTTACATTGCAGTGTAGGACGTGGCCTGATGTGATCCGTGCTCGTCTCAAACATTAAACTGTAAAGCTCATTGGGTACCAGCAGGTGGCGCTCCTCTAGCATAGACGGTGAAGAACACGGACGATGCCATCTTCAGACACAGACGCTTCTTATCGTGTTTGTTCTGAAACTGAACATTTGCACCAAATTCAATGGAAATAAATACATTTGAACTTTATTTTGATTGTCAGCGTCTAAAACACTGCAACACCGTTTTACATTCCACACGTCAGTTTCTCTTCACCTGCCTTTACGTTCTTTAATCAATAAATACAGATTCCAGACATATAAAACAACAAACATCTGAATGCTTTGCATGATAATAAACTGTAATAAATAACTACTAAACAAACACTTCAAATGACATCATCTCCCTCAATCTGGAGCCACGTGAACATGCACTTGTTGTACATTTTAAACAATTAGGTCAGAAACACGATTTATTTCCAATTTAAATGGTATTTTCAGGAATAATTTGTAGTGCGATATAAATGCAGTCCGACAAAAACAACTAAATATCCAAAATGAACAATGGACTCAAATCAACACGTCAAATATAATTTATGTATTCCTGAAGAGCAGCTTCTAGATGTGCTTTTAGTGATCGTGGTGTGTGAGGTAAGATAAGGTTTTAATCACCTATTATTTTTGGGAATAGCATTATGTAAAAATTATGTAAAAACTGAATAAAGAATTGAGTATTCGTCTCCCTTCAATCTGTTACTTATTCTTTTAAATGTCGATTTTTTTATTTTATTGCAAACAACCATTTTTGCTATAAATACATGCAAATATCAAAGAAACCACATTACAATTACAAACCTGTAACAATGAAATAGGTAGTTTAACCGAGTATGTAATTAATTGACTCCGTCAACGACGGCTCCGTTCCATTCAAGTGTACCAGGACCCTGACTCCTGCTCACCTGAGTGGAATGCAGCCGTTTTCACTGTTATCAGTGAAACCTGTGCTTCTCCTGCTGCGATATACAGAAATGTCCGCGAAGAGAAAGCCCTGCAGCGACACATTTAAAGGCTTCTTTATTTGAGTGTCGTAATGTCTTTCACTGACCATGCAGTAACTACTTATAACACAATAAGTGTGCATAATGTAAAGACGAAATGCAATAAAAAAATGTCACAATTTGCCTATAATGCAATAAAAATGTTGAGCGAATGATATAATAAGTTTAAGTTATTACTTTTTATGCAAGATGTTACAAAAGTTCCGGGTAATTTTTTTTTATATACAAATAATAAAATAATTTATATAATGTAATGAACAAATTGCAACTCAGCCATTATTGTCAATTGTTTTTTATGATCTACGTCGAGCACCTCCAACCAATTTTTTGCTGTTTACCAAAATAAAATCTTCTTTATTCATCATATATTGACCGGACAGATTTTCCAGCTATAACCTCGTAATAACGCCCGCTTTAATCTGTGCTTCACACCAAGTCAACTCGTCCTCCTGGTGCAGTGCTTTCTGGGAATATTTCTGATCCAAATGTACACACCAGTCCTTTAGTTCTGCGTGAAGTAACACAGCTTGTTTAACGCTCCTTTAAAGAGCATTTAATGGCCACATTGTGCAGCATTTTGTACGCCGTCAACTCCAACCTTGGATGCGAGTTACCTCCTGAGAAATGGTCCCCTGTAACGCTGCATTTATCTGTGTGGAATGATCTTTTAGTGTGTAAAAAACAACAAAAAAAGGCCTTTTTTTCCTACCCAGCACGCCCTCAAGGTGGCGATACATATCAGGAAGAAAAAGTCCACAAGGCTGCTTCATTTCTGCTCCATCTCAGAAGCAGAAGTAAAAAAATAAATAAACTGATGTCTTCCTGTGCGGTTAATGAGTGGATGAAATAAGGAGCTGTGAATACAAAACGGTACCTTTTTCTAATTCCTCCTTAAACCGCAGCCGGCTGCGAGGGAGATGTTTCCACGAGGAGGAAGAGGCCAACTAGCCGGTTGAATTATAAACACAGGACGAAGAGCACGCGGCCAATGTTGAACCGGGAGAGGTTTGAGGGTGTAAATATCTTTTGTTATCCCACCACAACCCATTTAAATCCCATCAAAGATATCATTAAACCCTTTTCCTGTTTTTTTTGTTCTAATCTCATAAGTACAACGTGACACGTTAAATGATTACTGGCCACGGTACACACAATTATCATCACTTTAATGACAGGTGCGCATTTTTGAAGAATCCGGCGTGTTCATGCGAGGTCAGCGGGGCTGATTGCGGTTCATTCTGAGAGCCTCGGGGTCCTGCATCACTGTGTGTGTGTGTGTGTGGGGGGGGCGGCCTACAGGTGGGCCTTCTCCTCCGGGGGCGTGGGAGTGAAGCAGGAAGTAAGGTAACTAAATCAATATCATGTGAATTATTAAGAGCTTCCTCCATTGTCACGCACCGCGCATCTCCCCCCCGTCCCCCCTCTCTTCCTTCATTTCCCGTTGCAAGTTTCCTCGATGCACACGCCGACTCCACACATGCACGCCAGCCACACACACACACACGTGCACTGGTCTTTAAGCTTACCCTTGTTGGAGTGCTCATTAGTCAGTGCAGTGATGCAGAGTAGCCCTGTCATTAGCTGAGAGCTCTGTGTCCTCCACACCCTTCCCTCTGTTTTATCCTTCTTCCCCTACTAAGGATTCGTCTTCATTTTATCTCAGACGCCGGGGGCATTCCGGAGATCTACATGACAAAGATCTCCCTAATCCCATTGACGTCCAAATACCCTCTGCAGACCGTCTTTATTAGCAGAACTGAGATCAGGTATCCTAATTGCCTTCGCCACTTGTTACTGAAGGAGCTCAAACTGTTGAGGAAAGAGTTTGCTCCACTCTGCCTTTGTTCCCTCCCCTTCGGCCGGTCAGAGATTTAACCCTCGCGTGCTTCGGTGTTGACAGCTCTGTCCAGTGAAGGTATTGTATTTACCATTACGGAAGTAAAACCGTGTCAAAACACTCCATTGCAAGTAAAAGTCCTGCATTCAAAATAAGACAAAAGTATTCTCAGCGAAATGTATTTAGCAGTATTGCTTCTGCCTGATATATTAATGGATGTGACTTTATCATCAGCCAACGTGTCCTCGTACATCGGCTCCTATGGATCGGATACTTTTTTTATTGTTTGAATGCAGTACTTTTACTTCTAATGAAGTATTTTTTACATGTTGTACTGGTACTTGAATAAAGGATCCGAGTACATCTTCCATCACAGCCAGAGATGGATGGTATATGCTGAGTATGGTATAGAGATGTGATGTTTACACCGCTGTCAGCACTCATACAACAGGAAATAAAGGGATTTACTACTTCAGTGGAGAACCAGATCAACTGTATCTTCACCGCTGCGGTTTCATATTTGTATTTTTTTTCTTCTTTCCGCACCAAAACAGACCTTGAGGTATTTCCAGCACAGCTATGATGGATTTGATTTGGCATCCATCTTCACATGAACAGTAAATGTCAGGTTTGGCTGCTAGTACCTTCCGAATCAAAGACTAATGGCCTCTATCATCATTTTTGCAGCAACATTCAACAATTACAGAGTGAGGAATGCATCAGAGAGGAGGCAGAGATAAACATGAGTGCAGCCCCTGTGGAGCAGCGGGCCCCCCGAGTCGAGGGCTTGACTCTCACTGGATTAGAGGACCTCCTGCCCCGCTGTTGCAGTCGTTATAACTAAGACTATCGCCCCCCTGCACCTGTGCATAGCTCACAGCTGAAGGCAGTAGGACCATGTCCATCTTCTGGGAAACCCCAACTATATATTTGCCACCATACCTTTTATAAATTATGTTTCTATACTTATTACATATTTGGCAAAACTAATAAGTAGAATATTAAACATCTGTTCTGGGTTGGTGCATCAGGCTTTGACACATTGCTGCACATACAGTCGTTTATATGGAGCTGCTCTAAAGCCACATTAACAGTTTAAATAGTTTTGTTTGGAAATTTTAAAGGAGCATTTGAATGAATCACATTTCTTAAGAATATTGTGAATGCTGGATGCTGAAAAGCAGCAGCTACACGGCATTGCTGGCTTTAAAACCAATAATGTATGAAAGATGTGGAATGTTTCAAGGTTTGTTGAACTGTAGCTCATTGCTCGCTTTAATCTGTATGACGAAGCAGTTGAAAAACTGTTATTGAGTTGGAAAAGGGTCTGATGAATATGCAGAGGATTTAAAAGTTAAATCATAGACATCACGTTGTAAAAAGAACTCCTGATGTATGAAAGATGAATCAGTAGATACGAATTGTAAATGCATTAAAAAGCAGCTGGGGCAATATGGATGGTTGGAAATTTCAAATGGGAGTTTTTAGAGCAAGGACTGAAAAGAGTAGTGAGAAGGACCATTTTTATTTTGAAAAATGAGGTCCATCCCCAGTTTTCTGTTAAGATACAGTGACTGTTAGGGGCTTTTATTTTGAAGAAAACCCAACCTCGTCCTGTGTTGTCTTTTAAGATACGATTACCTTCTGTGGCTTTTATTTTGAAAAAGTAGGTTCATCCCTAGTGCCTCATCCCTAACCCTAACCCTAACCCCCCCGGTCAGGACCCCCCCCCCCCCCCCAAGCCACAGGGCCCACTCACGTAACAAATCCCGATGTTAACCCCCGCTAACAGTCAACTCCAACCCTCTCCAAGCAGGACCCGCTTTCTAACCCCAGGATTTGCTGGCACACTTCGTCTACCAAAATGTGAAGCCATTGCAGCAAAGCAGGAATTCCCAACCACCACACACACACACACACACACACACACGCATCCTCCATCACTCCCTCCTTCCCTCTCGAGCCCTCGTTCAGCTCTCACGACACTAATGCTTGTTCGCCATGTATAGACCCACGGGTGATAAATCCATCACGAGGAGATATATTTATTCTGTCTCAGGATGCACATCCACCACGCCAAATCCTAATTTGTTTGAGCGGAGACGGGTCCGACAGACTGATGGGATACTCTGCTCCACGCGTGTCGCCCTATCAGTCTTCCTCCTCTTGCTCGCCGTTTTCCTTATCTCTGAGTTGGCCTCTTGTTTACTGGCACCATCAGTTAAACACAACATCCTCCAATATCTGTTCAGCTAATGACTGGGTTGTTAAACCTATCAGTCCGCCGACAGCACAGACACCCAGGGAGGTGTTGGGGAAACGTGTTCTCGACTAAAATCCAAAGCTGTTCGAGAACATCCAAGTAAATTTCCCAGCAGACACTCTCAACAAACTCTGGACTTCTAGCAAAACTCCCCCCCCAAAAAAATGCGAGCTATTTCTGTCTGCATAAACACTCATCCCATCCAACCTGCTGCGTTACCAACTACCATCAACAATGCAATTAATGAACACAACGATGATAGCACCGGGAGGACATTCCTCCTCGCTCATCATGTATTCCGCTCCGCATGCTATTACAAATGACCAAACACTCCATATAATAGCACATCATTTAGCCGATGTCCTTCGCTGGCTCGGCTCCCCGCATACTCCACACTGGCCATCAAAATCTCTGTGATGGAGCACATTAATTACACCCATCCAGAGACAGCTATGATTACAATTTCACACGTTTGAATGGACTACAGCCATTTGTGCCACAAAACTGCAGAGGCAGAGCAATGACTTTGGCGAAACGGGAGGAGGGAGGAAGAGGAGGAGGTGGTGGTGGGGGGTGGGGGGGTTTGTTCGTAATTCTCCGGAGAACTGCAGATGCGGGATATGTGGTCGCGTGGACGCTGACAGCTCTGGCGTTTAAGCAATGCGCTGTAATTGCATGCAAATGGAGCTGAATCTGTATCTTAACACATCTTCATTAGCCGGTTCACACGTCTCTGCAGCTCGGATGGAGGGACAATGGAGGGTTGAAGTTAATTCTTAGTAGGCCTGGTTCTGTTTTCATACTGGACAACTTTAATTAAGCGATAGATTAAGTTCGGGAGGGACGGTTTAATGCATTGAATCCCATGAGTGCTCTCATAAACAGCAGAATGTAATCAGTCAGCGATATCTAATGGGGTTGGAAATAGACACAGACATCTACATTTTCAACTCCAAGAGACACTTTCCCCCCTCTACTTTAAATAGCTGTTAAACTAAATGTCTTTGTTTTATTCTAAAAGAAGTAGCTTTGCAATTTGTTTTTCTTGCAACAAGTTACATGAAAAGATTGAAGCTACAGCCGGAGTTAGCTTAGCATAGAGACTGGAAATAGGGGGACACAGCCAGCGTAGCGCTCTCCAAAAGGTATCAAAATTGACCAAGCAGCACCGCCAAAGCCTGCTAATTAACACATAATAGCTTGTTTGTTTAATGTGTACAAAAGCCGAAGTGTAAAGACGTCATGTTCTGGTCTTACGGTGGATTACATGCCAAACTATTTCTCAGCTGAGAGCAGTGACTTCCTCAACGAGACTTCTCCAAGCAACCAGTGGAGACCGTGAAAGAACCTGCAACGTGTCATTTTTACAAACATGCTAATAACAAGTACACTCTAGAGATATGCTGCCAAGCGAGCTGTTTCCACGCTTTATGCTAGTTCTAGCTTCTGTTGTGTTCAATCATTTAAACACTTACTACATTATTTCCATTGGCAGCACTTTTCGTAAAGCGTATACAATGTTAGGTAGCGACTGCAGACTGTATTGTAGATAAGTAAAGGTGAGAGCTACCACCAGCTGCACATGAGATAGTGTATAACGTTAGCATTTAGCTTGTGGACGTAAACGCTGTTTCCTGTGTTCTTCATCAGCACACACTTCAGCTTCATCATTGGATAGAACAGTCATCTTTTAATCTCACTGATAAAAAGCAATGCAACAGATACAAAGATAACATTTCACATATTATAACCTTGAAAAGTTATATTGTGTTAGCAAACATAGTGGAGCAACATTAGCATTGATCTGGATTTGAGTTTCTGGCTACGCAACAAATGTGAGTCCAACATATATTTTCAATTTAGCTCTGTTTTGCTGAAAACAGCCATCCACTGTTGAACCAATGTTGGTGGTTTGACTGAACCAATACATTTAAGGCCGTAAAAATAAAACCAAAAAAAGAGAAAAATAAAATCCAAGTGCATCACCAAGGGCACAGATTTTGTTGTTCAGGTCTGACTTACAGCTGTGGTGCGTAATAACCACTGATGGGGATGAAGCATGCGGCAGCACACATTATATTCCTTCTCTGTAGCGAAAGGGTGTCTCAGCTCTGTTTTGTCTCGTGTCTGGAATCGTTTTGACCTGTAATCCCCAAGATTATTGTGGCTAAACTGCCCACTGTGTTTTTTCATGCTCTTTATCAACTCCCGGTATGCTAGGCTGAGAGGACTGCTGGCCTCTGGATGCCCTTAACCTGACATTCAGGGATCACATGGGTAGCTCGCTGTGCGCGTGCACGTGTGTCCGAGTGTGTCCGTGGGAGCATGGGCGTCTCCGATGCCCTTGGGGCGGAGACCAGCTCCTAGGAGGTAACAGTAGGTCAGAGGGCGCAGCAATTAGGAAGCAGTTGGAACCATTAATTAGCCGATATATCACTTACACTGTTGATATAGACTGTGTACCATGAGCTGGAAATAACCTTTAGACAACTTTCCCTCCTCATCATATTTCTATTAGGCTTAAGTCGTGCTAATAATTGCCACCCACTCTTTCAGTTCTCCACCTTAAGTAACCCGAAAGCTGGACAA